TTCTTCTGTTGTTCGTTTTTTTGGTGTGGGGTTTGCTGTTGGTTTTTTTTCCCTTAGTCTCTTATCAGACTGAATAGAATATAAAAAGTTATGTACCATCAACTAAAATTACAAGAGCAAGACACTGTCTTAAAATAATTGTCTGTTTAACATTTAGATCATCCTACACTGTGGGGGGAGCACACTGTGCTCATCACTCTAACTGAAAATTGCAATAGATGCTCTGCTCTACACAATGTAATTTTCCAAAAGCCATTAACATCAGTATTTGTATCAAATACCATCAAGGCTACTCAAAAAAAAAAAAAAAAAAATTTCAAAAAAAGGAGGGGTGGGAGGGTAGAGACCAAATCAGAGCCTTGCAATTCAAAAACTGTCTGGCCTAGTACCTGGTTGATCTTTGCATGAGATTTCAAAAACCTGACAAGCAACTGCAACAGCTCAGAAAATGGCTTTGAACAATGAGCACTATAAGCTTGGGAGTGTGTTATTATCATGACCTGTGACAAAAGCCAACCTTGAGACACTGGGGACTGGAACTGGCACATGGAGTCTCACAGAATTGCTGGTGCTTTTCCTTCTGAATGGTCCCCAACTGCTTTTCTTCACTTGCCTCACCAGGTGTCCAGAGGTAAATCAGGATATTTAGTTCTGAATTACCTACCTGATTGCTGGGAAAAAAAAAAAGAAGTGACATTATCTAACGTAAAAAGGCCAGAAGGGAAATTAAGACTCTTCTAATATAACACACAGATAAAGGACAGAAGAGAGCAGCCAGAACAAGTCTTCTGTCCTCCCTCCATCAAGTCCATGAGGTTAGCAAATGTGGTCATACTCCCCAGACCCAAAAAAGAATCAGTTACTCACAAACCTAATTAGCAGGTCTCATTTTGTAACCATTTTATACCCAGTATTGCTCAATGACTGTAGCCTGTAATCCGAAGAAAATGACCAACGATTCTCTTCACCATCAGTAACAGACAGAAGGCAACACACCAGCCTTCAGGAGGTCTCATCAGCCATGGACTTGTTTTCTCTGTAATGAACTACAAACACATTATAGATCTGGTCTGTCTCAGCTTGCACCAATGTACTAATTCTAGCTGTAAATATAATTCTATGGCATTTTGTGTTTACATTGTAAAAATCTCTTAGCTAAATAAACAGCAACTAAAAAGACAATTTGCATAGGGTAGGTGCTGTTATAATCCAAGCTACACCTTCTGAAGACACTGAGCTCTTAAAAGAATAGGAGGAAAACTAGACAGTGGAAAGACAGCTCACAAGGAAAGTTGTGCTTAATTGCTCCTCTCCAGTGAGAGGAGGGTGATACCTGTGTGTACTTGGTATAGAATTTAAACCCAGTTTAATGGATAAGGAAGGACCTTTCTTGACTTACTACTAGGCATGCTTTGTACCCAATGCTGCCTTTGTATGCTGCTGTGTTTTGGTGGGTCGTTTTTGTTGTTGTATTTTCATCTACAATGAAGAATAAAGGTTTGTTTTATAGAGTCTGCTCCTGATTTACTCAAATCAAATTTGTCATCCCAGAGCCTATATGAGCATGTTTTCAGGGTATCTCTTAGACTTGATGAAGAAATTATATACAATCAGTAACTGTAAGAGAACAACCCAGGTAGACTATGTTTCAGATTCTTTTCCTCCTTTACATGAAAGTTGCAAATATTACATAAACAGTTATATTGAAAACAAAGAAATATAATAATAGACATGGGGAAATACTCTGCAGCATAACAGAGAAAATCCTAACATGATGGATCTTAATCAAAAAAACATTTAACTCTGCACTTCAATGAACTGAGAGGAGGACAAAATCTTATTTATCCAGGCAATACCATTTTACTAAATATATGTTGACTTAAAAAACACTGCAGCATACAGAAAAGGCACCTCTAGGACTCCTGTTTAAAGGATGCTTTTCTCCTGCTGCCCATTTCCAGCTTTCAGGGTAGAAAACCAGAGCTGGGAAGGCAAAGCACGGCATGGAAAGGACAGGAAGGGAGATGAACACATGTATAAACATGGCAAGTAAAGCAAGAAAAAAAAAGAAAATGCTTTACCCAAGATACAGCAACAGCACTTGACAAAGCAGAGAAGTTTAAAGAAGACAATTTTACTCAGCCGCTCTGTTCTAAAAGTTAACACAGTCTGCAAGGAAGAACTGCAAACACCTCTGAACTTGTCCCGGGCAGGAGCGAGTCTGTCTGCCCGAGCGACACAGCGAGAAGGGCTGGGAACGAACACTTCTGCAGTCCTCCTGCAGGCACGCTACACGAGTGCCATCTACCGCGAGCAGGTACCGGGGTTAGAACAAACCCAACCCGCTGTGGGAGGGGGAGATGCCCCCGGGCGGGCCGCGCCTCCCCCCGCACCCCGCCTGCTGCGGGCAGGTGCGCGTGGAGCGATCCGCTCTGGGAGGGAGGGAGGGAGGGAGGGAAGGCCACTCGCTCTTCCAGCACAACGACAGGCAGATTAAAATCTGCAGGAGAGCAGCTAGACACCATGTGTTCCTGCTGTGCCCATCTTCCCAGCGCTGGCCCCTCCCTCCGCACAGCTGCAGCCCGAGCCAACGAGCAGCAGCCCCTGCTGCCAGACACCTCCACCCGGAAAGGTGCCTTGCAAGGCACTGCCTCTGCCTCCGACAGAAAGCTGTTCTAGTCCTTCTCCCTGCAGGCTAATCCCCTTTCCCCCCACACACCCTCTTCTGTCTGCAGCTTTTTTCTCCTTAGCTTTCTCAGCTGTTTGCAAGAAAGTTGGCAGAGCATCTATAGCACTACAGGTTCAGAGGGGGAACAAAGGCAAAAAGGTGAAGCACCTTTAGGTGATGGTCTCCTTTACAGTGTCAGTCCTTTCACTGGAGAGACTGTGATATTGCTTTCTCTTATCTCTAACAGGGCCTCCCACTGCAGCAGGTCAGCACAGGAAGGGGATATAGGTCCCTGCACAAGGGAGGAAAATAAAGCACAATTATTATCCTTCCCGAGAATAAAGGGTTCAGCAGAAACCTAAAACTGCCTCACTAAAGCAGCAACACGTTAAGTAACACTACTTGAACAGCAGCATCTGACTTCAATTGATTAATGTTAGGAAGGATGGTAACACTAGTTGAGCAAGCTAAAGTAGTTTTGTGCTTCTCATTAGAGACACATTTAAGTAATAAAGCTAAGATTGCTCAGGTTATAGTGAAAATTCTTATTATTCTGTTTTGAGATGATACTGTTAACCTTTAATAAAAGCAACCAGGAAGGAAGTGCTGACAAAAACCAAACAAACAAGAAAACCAAAAAGCACCAACAGCCACACACAGAAGGCAGAATTTCAGAACACAGCCTGAGGGTCACCGTTAGTCAAAAGAAAAGAACAAGCCAGTTCATCATTCATATGCCTTTAAAATCTAGAGTCATCTTCTGAAAACTGAATATTCAGTTTTGAGTCAGCTTTTAATTGAGAGGAAAGCAAAGGTTGACTAACATTTTTAAAGCCTCACATGGTAAGATAGTATATAGCCTTTTTAAAAAAACACTGTGAAGCTATCATAGCTTTCAAAAATTTGCTAAACCATACATGCCTTTACAGAATTTTGCTGAAGTGTCTCACCCTCCAATGGAAACAACTATTACAGTTCAACCTTTTTTCATTTTATTAGCACAAAATCACATAGAGAGTGAAGACAAAGAGAAACATACACATGTACTTAGAACATGGAAAACTCACTGCACAGATGCAAATGATTTCTTCCTTCCTCAGATCTTACCAGTTACTTCTCTCACCTTGAGTACCAGAGCACTGTGCTAGAGCTGGCAAGCTACAAACCCCAATCTTACACACCTGCAACACTTCCTTAAAAAAAATAAACCCTGCAGTTTCATTACCAAGGGGGTCTCAGCCTAGGTTCAGAACTACAACTCCTGTTAAGAGAACTGAACTAGAGCACTTGAATTCCTAAGTCTCCTGCTGACTGTGCTTTTGGAGCAGATCCTTTATGTATTTAGTATCATATAACATCTTTAAAACAAAGGAGAAACATTTACACAGTATGTGCATACACCCTAACATTAATGCAAGTATATTCATTTTTACATAGTTCAATGAAAGTCCATTCTATAAGCACAGAAGCAATCCCATGGTTATTTCTGACCACATAAATACATCAGTTGCAGAGATCTCTTACAGTTACAGATCTTTTGCAGAAACCTTTATAGTAGCACATGTATAGGCAGTTGGTCCAGTGGCAACACCTGTACACACACAAGGACAGGGTACAGAGGCAAGATCTTTACAGGCCAGTCACTGAGCTTGCTGCATAGCAAGTGGATGTACACTGTGACATCTGCAGTAATAATACCAATAAATTAGATTAAAACAGTTCAGATATACCTCCCATAGTATGAAAGCCAGCATTCACAAAATCAGAAAAACACACTATTCTATTCAGATTGCATGGCAACAAACAAGGTGTTTGCCACAGTACAAAATCAATGCACTTTCAATGTCCAGTATTATTATTGGGTTGTGGCACACTGATATTTAATTGCCATGCAAAGATAACATCCTCAGATGTTTTCCTAGAAATTGTCCTGATTTATTCCAACAAATGGCATTTCAGACATTTCAATTTAGTTAGCTATGCAGTTGTTTGGTGAATAGAATTAATCACACAGGTTTATTACATCTATGTTTTTGCAGAAGAGAGCAGGTAGTCTTTGTTTGAATACTTCCCTCCATCAAAGAGGGCAAACCAAGAAGCATGGTCTGAAAGCAAAGCATCACCATCTCTTAAAATGAAGCTCCAGTTCAGCTCTCCAAACAAACAGAGAATCACTAGAGCAGAGCTCTACCTTGCATCCACTTATCACGTACAGAATTCATGAGAATAATCTGAGAAAGAACTACTTTATGGAATGATTTGTGAGACCAGCCTCACCAAACAAGAAGCCTGAGTTTCACAAGCCTAAATAATAACACCACTTTTTTTTTTTTTTTCCATGACAAAAGGGTAAATGTAAGCAAAAGTGGATATTCTACATATTAATAAAAAAAGAGTTAAGCAAAGTGACTATTCAGCATTTCACGCAAAACTCAATAATTTGTAAGTTTTGACCGGGCCGTCAGTCAGAGACAGGCTGATGATACAGGACTCCAAACTGAAAAACCACTGCACTTGCAATAAAGCTGGTTTCAAACCAGCACTTCTAACTCCACTGGCCTTAATGTATTTTTACAGTAGTTTCAGTTGTCCAACAAGAGTTACAAGCTGCTGTTCGACAGTTAGCACCACTCTTCTCCTGTGAAACATACTTCAGGCTTTCAGACTACTTTTCTCTTGTTCCACAAAGCTTTGGAGTGAAGAGCTGACGAGTCTACCCAAGGTCTTTAGCTCTCCTCTAGACTGCGTTCCTAGGTGTGCCATTGTGAGTCACTGCTTTCATACTGGAGGCGCTTGATTGATGGTTGCAGATTCTGTGGGAGGCAACACCTACTTCAAAGACTTCATGAATGGCTTTGCGGAAGCAATGAAAATTGTAGTCTATCAGACCTGCCAAAAAGGAGGGGGAGGGGAGAGGAAAAACTGTACTCAGCTTGGCACTTTTACTTAGCCAAAATAACTTTAAAAAAAGTGTTTCATTAAACCAACAGCTATTCTGATACTTATTTTAAAATTATTTTGGATTCAGAAGATGTGACAAAGTCTTACTGATGCCAGTATTTATTTAGACTGTTTCACTTTTTAGAAAAAAAAAGTACTGATTTAGAATGCAAGTTGTTTTCATTATAAAGTAGCAGGTGAGACAACAACACAAGACTACTCTCGAAACACGTTGCTGCAGCTCAAGCATCACTTTAATGTTATCTCGCACTTTATGTAATTTTTATATATATTCTAACTGTGATTAGAAAAACTTCAGCTTTTACTGTTTTGAAAATGCCAAAGTAAGTAAGTACTATCACCATTTAAGTCAAATACTTTGCAATTAGGGACTACATTGTTGTTTCTACCCCATAACATATGCGAGACCACTCATACCATGATCTCCTGCAGGTCTAAGCAACTATATAGTGGGTTAGACCTGCAATGTGTTAAATTATTTGTTCTAAGTTCCTACCACATACTGCAATAGCCTGCAACTTTTTATTTCTTCAGTCATACATTTTAAAAGTACATCTTTCCAACAAGTAATAGAGAATATGGCTATTCATAATATAGCAGCTGTCAAGCAGAACATAGTGTCACTGCATTCTCCTGATTCACTATAGCAAAGAGTAGCAATACTGGTCACACCAGCTAAACAAGTAATTTCTATACCTATTCCCTAGGAAAGGAAAAAATTCCTCCCATGAGCAATTAAACAAATTTTGGTAAACAAAAAAAAATCAAGGTGACTTGTACAGTCATATTAATATTTTATAGTTGATAAAAACATTAGATAAAAGCTGTTCAATGTGGAAAGTCCTTACCTTTGCGCTCAAAACTCTCTTCTCTAAGAATGCAAACTAATGCCAAAAACTTTGTTACTTCCTTTAAGTACAGGACGGTTGTGTTATTGAGCTTGATAATTGCCATTGACTCTTTATCATAAGCACTTCCAGTGCCATCTTCCTTTAACCTAAGAAAGAACGAGTTAACCCAAGACAATCTAGTAGGCAAGCATATGTAACTTCAAGACAAATACCTGTTGTAAGAACTTTATTCATACTGAACTGTGAGCAAGTGAAGAACCTGCAATGCAAGTCTTAATACCATCATAAGTAAGACCATTATTACCCCTTAAGTTTCTCAGGAAAGGTAGACCTAAACTGAGTAGAGGCCTCCACTAGACACCATCTATCTTAGATGGGCAGTTGAGAGCAAGCTCTCAGCATGCATTATTTGATATCAAACTACAGAGCTGTGGCTGTTTAGTCAATACTGTTTTCAGCTGACAGCTGAAAATTCTTAATAGATAGTAGAATACATTAGTTATAGCAGAGTTTGCCTTCACACCAAAGTGTCTCCCCGAGTTTACAATGCCACAGTAAGATACCAAGTGATTGGTTTGAAGATTCTAATGCAGGACCTCTATGCAGAAATGTCAGTGGAGTAACATCTCAGTGAAATTACTTTTGGTAAATTAATACAAAGGCTTCCTTAGTGAAGCCAGGGCAGGTGGAAGCATATGCAACAGGGAGCAGGACACTTCTTGGTCTTAAGCTAAACTAGCGTGCATTTACAAGAAAAGATTAGGATCCTGCTTTCTATATGCAAGTTGTTAGTGCTGGTTAAATTAGCATAAAAACAAAAGTTACAGTGCAAGCTACTAAGCACTGAGTCCTGAAACAAAACCCCAAACAGTTACACAACCCTGAGTTGACCCATCAGGAGACAGACCGTTTAACACTGCCGTATTTCTTGGCAGCACTGTAATTTCAGGCTACAACCAGAGTTGTAAAATAAATCACTGCTTCTCCAGAGCAGTTAAAAAAAATCCATTGTGAAGTATAATTCAGCTGTAAATTGTGAGAAACAAGCATTATGTGCAACCCTCAGACAAAGTCGGCATAGCCAAGATGACCTTGCAAAAGCTGTTCTGTCCAGATACCAGCAGGTCTCAAAGCAACGTGACTGCAAGTCACACTTACCAGCTACTGCATGCTGCTGACCCCAGTTACTTGCAAGTATTATCATACTTGCACCCACCATGCCAAACAAGATACAGCAGTAATCCTATTTTACACAAAACACTTGAATTTTACAGATGTCAGATGGCTGTGTAAGGCCACGTAGTAGATTGAAACAAACTCTAGAAATGCTGAACCCAGCTGCTAAATCATTTGACTTTATTCTAGTTGCTTACAGAACCAATGTGCTCTACAGACTGACAGCATCCTGTTGGATGGCAAAGCGAGCACCACTTGCACAGTTTGCAGCCTATTCTACTACTTTTAAGGACTTCTTTCCTAAGAGTATTCATCACTTACCCATATATACAGGAAACATCTATCACTACATCAATCATGTCACAGCACAACTCATATGACTGCATGTCCACAGGGGAACTGTCTGTTGCAATGTAGATTTTGCTGACTACATCGAAGAGAAAAGCTTTTTCGATGCCTGAATTCTTCAGAAAGAGAAAGAATTTGGATGAATTTTTAAAACAACTGCATTTTAAAAATCTCAAGTAGAATTAATATACTTTCACATTCTTAATAGCAGGAAATGCTTTAAATGTAACTGATTTAGATGCTTAAGACAGAATCAAGACTTAGAGCATATGATTTACAAGTACAATACCCTTGTTGCTACAGTACAGATCAGTATCACTCTCTAGTTGACAAAAATAAAGCTGGAGATTCCGTTAGGATTCTTTTTTATTATTTACTGGATCATAATTACGGCTACATTTTACTATGCTTCCAGGACCCAGATTCAGCAGTTTTCCTCTTCTGTGTTTCTATTAACTCCAGAAGAGCCAAATATTCTCATCCACCTGACGGACCAGTCTCAGAGAAGAGTTGCTTCATAGCAGTATGCTGACAAATTTTACACCTGTAGTATCTTGGCAGTTCAGTTTCTGTGTGAGGCAGTTGCCAGGTAGTTTAACATGCAGAGCAAATAAAGCCAGCTTCTAAAATTAGGACTCCATGAAGAGCATCATATTATGGCATTTATGGATATGGAAAAGCACCAAGAAAACTGTACCATCCCACTCGTAACTGAGCACCTTGGCAAAGTGTGGATGCTCATACAAAGTTCAGAAGCTGTCTGCTGTTAAACAAGTTACCACATACACACTGTGGATTTCAGATAAAACTTAATTTGTATTTATGCACAAGAAGTATTCCTTATCACTTCATCCTAGCTAGTCTGAATACCTAAGGCAGTGTCCCAAGGCCATCCAGACAAACCTTTTTTGCAACAGGGCCACACTTCATACCCTCACACCATTGAGCAGGGTGAGCATTACCATGCCCTTTATCCAATGGGCCAGGTTATTGCAGACAGTTCTCTACCAACACAGGAGAAAAGCACTGTACAGTAGCATGGGGTGACACATCTGACCTGCACAGCTCCTTTTAATCACAACTGTTTTTTTTTCCATGTTGTCCACATGCCTGTAACAGCCTCACAAAAAAAACTGAAATGAGACGGACTACTTTAGCCTTGTCTCTAGGGTGATACTTTATTTGGTTCAAAGTATAGAGCAGCAAATTTCTACGCCACAAATTCTGTAAAAAACACATGCACTAAAAGAATAAGGGCAAAAGTCTCAGGTCACATGAAATAGTGTAGTTCAAGGCCAAGTTCATATTACAAAAGAAGTCACTTGTCAGTAGAGCTAGATTGAACTAATTGCCTTAGCAGACTGACAGAAAACTGATGTATCAACAATCATAACCCACCAAGCTGTGCTTTGTCAGTATTTGGAGTAATACACACAAAGCACGCACCAGTACAATCCAGCTGTGGTAAAGAGCTTCTAAAGGAGACAACTGGGCCAGAAGAATACACCAACATGGGTGCCACCTGAATCTTGCAAGGGCAGATCTAAATAGCATTCCTCAGCAGAAGGACTTGCTTTACCATTCCATGTACTTCAAGTTTAAGTGTTAGATTAACACTTACTGATATAAAGATATTTAGCAGATTTTCCAGCGTTGGCAGCTGTGGAATGAGCTTCTGTACCACTTTACTGAAGGCTTCAAATATTGAATGGTCATAGATACTGGTCAAATAAAAGCTGAAGTGAGGAGCGAGGGGAAAAAAAAAAAAAAAGATTCAAGAGTATTTCAGAATTGCAAAGGAAATTTAAAGCTGTATTTTGTAACATTCAGGTCTTATGATTTAGCTGCAATGCCTTTATCATAAATACACACGGCTACTGCACCAGAACTGAGTGGAATAAACTGAGTTTATTCCAGAGTGACTGGAATAAACATGAAACAGAATTCCACCCTCCTCAGGAGATGGCAGAATAGAGAGAAAAATATGAACATGCTTTCACAACACACTTAGCCTACAGAATGCTTACCACAAAGGCGTTAAATGCTCAGCTAGATTTCAAGTCCCACTTCTGGCCTTCCAATTCATTCACACTAACACCGAGAGATACTGGCAATACTTAAAAGCTCCATGAGAATCAAAATAGCAATAAAAACAGAGAAAGGATAGCTTTTTTTAAAGGTGTTGGTAGAAGACACCTTAAAAACAAGCAGAGTATCAAAGTGAGAGACTAAGCTTTTAAAACCAGTCAAGCTGAGAAGTCTGTGCTAGCCAGGACAAGAAGGCAGGCAGCTTTTCCCCTCCTTCCCCTGCCCCTCCAGGCCACATGGACTAACATAAACCTGTTAGGCTGAATGAAAAGTATGCAAAGAGACCTGAATTATCATCAAGTTTATGAATAAATCTGTTGATACAGTAGCCTGCCTTATTTTAGTCAGCCTAACAGCTGAGGCTGCATACAAGAAATATAAAGAAACTTACAAAGCCTTGTCCAGTCCATCCACTATTACACCTAAAAGTCTGTATGCACATCAGCAACAGTTGTAGAATCATTTATGCCAGAATCTTTAACTCACCTAAGGTGAAGTTTTTCGAGTCCAGCATCTGTAAGGTCATCATTAGCCCTCTGATGAATATCCCTCTGAGTTTCTATTTTATGGTCATCCGATAAACCATCAACTTTATGAATAAAAACTTCAAAGTTCATTTCCGGGTTGACCTTGTAGGCTTTTGAAACTGTAATGTGGAGTCTTGTTAAAGCTTCCATGTAGTCATCCTGTAAATCAGTTTTGGCAGGAATGAATGATAAGGTATTATCTCTGACAACTATTTCATCCTGCACAAGGACAAAATATTTCAGTGCAAGAACTTCACTTCTGGAGCTAAAAAGAAGTATGTGAGAAGAGAATACCTTGAGGTGTCAGAAATCCAGAATCCAAATTCTGTGATGCAAATTAATTTGCATTAGCTATACAAGGCTCAGCTACACAAAACTAGGCTCTAAGAAAAGGCAGGCTATACTTCAACTCCAGCAAAAGGTGGCAGCAATCTCCAAGATGGTCGTTAATACCAGCCAGTCCCCCACGGTGTAATCCCTAAATTCATTAGAAGCTACCAAATACACAACAGTAGCACTACTTGAAACTGAGGCCAGAAGAGTGCTGTTATTAAATGAACTCCATAGCAGCCAACAGCAGAGGGAAGGCATCAGACCATCTAGCACAGCCGGTTCTCACTATTATTCTAGAAAAGCTAAGTTCAGAGTACCCACCCCTCTACACTCTCTCCCCAGGAAACATATGTTCTAGTCACTTCACAAAACTAAAAACCACACATCGAGAGCTGGATTGCCAACATATCCAGATGTTTTATGAACTTCTTGATCATTCCTCTTGCACACAAAGCAAAAAGAAAACTTCCTTGTGATTATTAGTGATTTGTATTTACCTGGGCATCAATAACGTATATTAGAGCACCTGTTCCTCTGAAGATCATCTCATAATCAAATGTTGGATCAAAAAAATCCATCTGACCAGGAAAATCCCATATTTGGAAATTCACAAATGAACTGTTGGAAATATCATCTTTGTAGATCTTGTTGGTACTTTCCAAAAACAGAGTCTCATTGGGAGACATTTTGTGAAACACCACCTGTTAAAAGAACACAAATAATAGTCTCAACTTTATCTCATTAGAAGAGATTGCTAAACATCCTGTGATTGGAATCTTACAAATAGGTTTGTCCATTCTAAACTGTACAGTTTCCTTTTGGTAAACAGCTTCTCACATCAGCTAAGGAACTAACCTGCCCTCAACCATAATCAAGCAACTGAATCCTGTTAAACCTATTCACAAGTCTGAATACCACTACTGCCTAAAGACAGAGACATCCCAGTTACTCTTTCTTCCCCTTCCAAGTCTAACACAGTATTTTCAAATTCTGCTAAATTAGCCAATTTAGATCTGGTATAGAGCCACCCTGTTAATTAAGCAATTGCAAGCTTTTAAGAACAGTTCCTTTCCAGATTTAGACATTTCTAAAGGAAACTTTGCTTTTAATCTGGTGTCAAGTGTTACAACACAATATAATCAGTCTCTTACAAAACTACTATAAAAGTGTACAAAAATAGTATCTCAGTTTTAGAAACTCAAATACCTAGGCAGTTCACTATCTATTAACAACTGAACTATTTTTGTGACCCTCTCCTTCCAAGAACCCTAAAGAAACGATGAAAGCTTTCACACTAGTTGGTCAACAGTTTAGCTGCAGTGACAAAAAAACATACTCATTGCTAGTATTCAAAGGTCTGCTGGGATTTTAGCCCTTCCCTGAACAAACAAAACTAGTGTGTAACCCCACAGCAAAGCAGCCTCTATAAAAGCAGTCAGTTTGAACAGCAAACATTGCTCTAAAGCAACCCAAAGGCCTATTACAGAAGTTACTACAAACAGGTAAGGTGGTCCAATGCTAGGACTCCAAAAAGAAACCTACTTCCTATGTAGCACTTTTAAAACTTTTACACAGTTGTATAAGTCATCCATTAAAGAGACCCAGCCTAACCATCTGTCAAAAACCCCTGCAAGACAAACAACTCCGCACCGAGCACAGCTAATGGATTCTTTAGTGAGGTTCAAAGCAAGTAGCTCAGCCTAGATTTTTAAAGCCAAGGCAAAAAAAATTCAGTTCCTCAAGGCAAACATTTGAGGAAGCCAGAACCTAAGCAAGGTTTTAAAACAACAGGACATTTGCATGGAAAATGAGAACAGTTCTAGATACATTGTGGCTGTACTGCAAGGACTAGAAATTCCTCAGAACTCAGTGTCTCCCACAGAGAGCAGGACAGAATTATTGCATCCAGTTTAAAGTAAATGAGCCTCTGAGATGCAATGCCATCATCCACCTTTCCAAAGCGCCACATTTCATTGGATTTATGTTCTTCAGCTGTTTTTACACTAATAGAAGAACCAAGATTTGATAAAATTCCTTTTCTGCTGCCTCCCATTCTTACTCACTTTACACAGCTTCAACTAAAGCAAATAAAAAGGCTGCAGAAGCATCTGACAGGAAGCATGCAGCTAACACAGATGCCAAGCAGTTCTGACAAGGTATATGCAGGCAGAGCAGACAAAGCTAGGAATATTCTAAGAATCTACAAAGTTTCATCACTATCATTTTTACCATTCCCAAGTGTTTCTTTTACAATTTCAACATCCAGCAGTCTCACCGACTTCCTGCTTTCACCATATTTTAAGAACTTTTCATTGCCAGCTTAAACACTCCTAGTAGTACACCAAGATTCTTTTTTTTTCATCCCTGTGAATTTCCCATGCACACATGACCTGCTGCAATCTTGAGTCTTCAGGAATTTATTATTTCCTGACATGTCATCCTTTTCTCTACAATAAGAATTTGAATTGCAGCAGTTTAGCTGCTCTCCTGATGCAGTATTTCTGGAGAGGCAGAGCTGCCTCCATGGGGTTGGACTGCCTTTTTGGGGTTTTTTCCTGGTTTGGTTTTTGTTGGTTTTTTTTAACTCACAATTTCTGTCTGTCTCAATTTTCAAGCAGTTATCCTTCCTTGGATCTGCAATCTAAATTTGTCTGACATGTTCATTTCCACTACCTTAACCTTTGAATCGTCTCCCCAGCCACGTTCAGAATTTCGTTTCCAGCTGCAATATTGATCCATATAAACAAAATTTCCCAGACTACCAATTAATAAGCCTATACATGAAGTGACAAGCACAATTTCCACAATAACCCTACTACAAGAGCTTAAGATCCAATATAACCTGCTACCTCAAGACACCTTATCAGGTACATTGTAGCAACAGCTACAAACTGCAAGAAAAATATCTAAGGTAGGAAGTGCAAGTTGCTGAGAAAGTAACAAATCAACCATAGTTTTCCTTTTTTTTGACACTTGACTAACTGGTTTATACCTGCAAAATCTACATCCTTTCCCTCAGAAAGGAAACAACCAGACCCAGAACTTTTCTAAGAATCTTCACAGTGCAAATAACCAGATGGGAAAACCCTTCACTGCTGGTTGTCCCAGGCCACCATGAAGCATGCCTCAATAAAGTCCATACAGCCAAGCACACAATTTGCCCTTCAGAAACATTCTGCACATAAAAATTGGCATCTTTACCTAAACGTCCAAATGCAGAATGGGTTTTCAAACTCCTTTTTTTTTTTTTTTTTTTTTTTTTCCAGTCACAGTAAAGCCCAATTTTTCTTGAGGTAATATTAGACTATCTCTATTGCCCTGACGTCCAGAAAGGAATTTGCACAGGCACATGGAAGCAGATCCCTGAAAAGAAAGAGAAAAGGTATGCTGTTGCAAGACTGTGTTGAGAATCTACTATCTGGAAGCAATCATCTGCTTCACAGGCAACAATGAAAAGCAACTTCCAAAGGACTCCCTAACAGCTGTAAGATGGACAATGTTTTTGCCATTCTCATGCTTTCAAGAATCTTTAATTTTGTGGATTTTTAGGCTGCTGTAAGGAATAAGATGGTCTCAGAGCAGCTACCTTTTTTTTTTTTTGTGGAGGAGATCTGGGGAGCGCATGGTGACAAAGGAATAGTTTAAGTACAGTGAAAGGAAGACAGGACAGTTTTTGAAGAAATTCACTGGTTATTAGGAGCACTACATTACATCTTCCTGTGAGATTTTCTAAGTTTATAGCTTGCCACAGAAGCATGACAGACAGCTGGTTCTTATTCCCTATTCCCCAACTCCATTAATTGAAAGAAAAATGAGTATAAATAAAAGTTCTACAGCACTTCCAAGCAAGCTTTAAATTCTACAACACATACAAATTCCTCCTGCAATAATATATTTATGCTAACATTATGAAGGCAGAGGAGCAAGTTTGGTGACCATGACAAACAAACAAACCCCACACAACAAAAAAACCCCAAACAAATTAAAAACAAACAAACAAAAAAAAACCACAACAAAAGCAGGTACACTGTTTGAACTCTTTCCAGGATGCCATTAGATAAGGACAGCACAGTAAGTCCAGTTATAAAAGTCATAAGTCTGCACAAGAAGTTGGTTTATAAACTGACGCAACTGTCACATTCCCAAAATCTTCTAACTTCAATTTGCTACAGAACAGCCACAGGTTGTCCAAAAGAAAAAAAAAAAATGTCCACAGGACTATTGTTTTTCCTTTTGTAAGATGCATCCTGTTAATATCACTCTCAGTAAAAGGTTGGAAAGGTTTAATAATTCATTGTTTTCACACAAATGTCTAAGTTCCTACACAGCCAATACCTCTACTCTCTGGCAAGGTGACCAACAATTAGTGCCCAGACAGAAGGGTCTGGTCTGATTATGACAATTTTTGGATTGGACAGATCTAAGAGCTGAGATGCTGTTGAAAATAAACTTCTTGATACTCCCAAGACTGTCTCAAATTATTGCCACATTTAGTTTGCTCAGCCAGCAGCACAATGAGCTCCCAGGTAACAGAACCACAAGTTCTAAATCCTAAGCCACATGGACAATTGATCAACAAAATATAAATTCCATGTCCTCTGACTGCACACTCACCATCATCCTGCTCCTTTCCTCTACAACTACTTGAACGGGTCCTCAGAGAACAGATGATCTCAACATCAGTCTTTACAAAAGCAAAAAAGTCCAAAAAGCTACATTTATAAAGTGACTTGTAAAGTCCTAAGATCTAGTTGCAATACTGCTTCACTCTAGCTTTTCGGGTTCACTTTTTTCAACTGTGGATAATAAAATAAGATCTCTAGTGAGAGTCTACAATGTAAGACTCAGACTTTCAGAGCAATCACTGCGTTTGGATGTACAGCAGCAATATTGAAAATAGGCTTATTTGCACAAAGCCTTTACACTGAAGGATTCCACACTTGTATTACAAGAAAGTTTGAGGCCTGGTAGTGTAGAGCTTCTGAATCACTGCATTTCACTAGTAACGCCTTCCCATAAAGTCACCACCCAGAAACCTCAAAAACAAAACCTACTGAAGAACCAGGATCATTCTTAGTGCTACATTTCTCTTGACTACATAGCAAATAAAAAAATGTGTTTCATTTTCATTAAGAAATGCAAGCAAGTTCACAAAGCTACCAACAAACCTAACGCACCAGAACTGTTTTATTTCCTCCATGACCAGCTACTCTTGTTTGCCCGGCCTAGAGGGCTGGAGGAAACCAAAGGCTGCCTTTGTGCTCGTACAGAAGAAGTCTTTTTCAAAGGATCAGAAGTCAGAACAACAGCTCAGGCGTCCTTGCGACAGGCAGAGCTGGCCGAACACTGCTCACCGGCACCGCTCACCGGCACCGCACACCTGTACCGCTCACCTGTACCGCTCACCTGTACCGCTCACCGGCACTGCACACCTGTACCGCACACCCGTACCGCTCACCGGCACCGCACACTTGTACCGCACACCCGTACCGCTCATCAGCACTGCACACCTGTACCGCTCACCGGTACCGCACACCGGTACCGCTCATCTGTACCGGTACCGCACACCTGTACTGCACACCGGCACTGCTCACCTGTACCGCTCACCGGTACCGCACACCTGTACCGTTCACCGGCACCGCTCACCTGTACCGCTCACCTGTACCGCACACCTGTACCGCACACCTGTACCGCACACCGGTACCGCACACCTGTACCGCACACCGGCACTGCTCACCTGTACCGCTCACCGGTACCGCACACCTGTACCACTCACCGGCACCGCTCACCTGTACCGCACACCTGTACTGCACACCTGTACCGCTCACCTGTACCGCACACCTGTACCGCACACCTGTACCGCACACCGGTACCGCACACCTGTACCGCTCACCCGCAAGGAAACAGTTCATGACAAATCTCACGCCAGTTTCTTCACTTTTTACTTTTGATGCGTCAAAGCGAAGAACTACAAAGGTGCAGCCGCTGCCGCACAACCTGACGCTCCGGGAGGGTCTCCAGGCAGGGGCGGCCCCGCAGCCCCGCGAGCAGGAAGAGGCGCCCGAGGACGCAGCGGGGAAGGGCT